TAAACCACCAGAAAACCGTAAGTGGTGCTGTAGCTCAAGTGATAGCCTTGAGCTGAAGAGCTGAGGGACAGCGCCCAGGCCCAGAGTTCAAGCCCCATGACCGACCAAAAAAAAAAACAAAACAAAACAAAACAAAAACAGAACATAACAATACAGACAAGTGACAGGTGCCACTAACCCTCAGGGGGTTAGTGGAAGTGTGGGGACCTCTCCACATGCACTGCAGGGCTGCCATATCTGTGAGAGGCCTCTGCACACATACCCCCCCTCCCACCCTTGCACACTGGCAGAGGAGCATGCGTGCTCTCTGCTGGCGTGTCAGAGCTGGCACTTGCATTTTTTCTTTATTTTTTTCTTTATTATTATTTTTTTTTTTTGGTCCATTGTAGGGCCTGAACTCTGGGCCTGGGCGCTGTCCCTCAGCTCTTCAGCTCACAGCAAGCACTCTACCACTTGAGCCACAGCACCACTTCTGGTTTTCTGGTAGTTTATTGGAGATAAGAGTTTCATGGCCTTTCCTGCCAGGGCTGGCTTTGAACCGTGATCCTCAGATCTCAGCCTCCTGAGTAGCTGGGATGACAGGCATGAGGCACCAGAAAAAACTTACTTTTGTTGTCGGTGGTAGTGGTGGTGGCAGTCAGGAGGCTTGAACTCAGGGCCTGGGCGCTGGCCCTGAGCTTATCTGCTCTACCACTTTGAGCCAGAGCTCCACTTGCTGAATTAGTTTCTGGATGGATCTGCTAGAAGTTCATGCGATGAAAGCTGCTCCACCCCCACCCCTACCCCCACCCCCCAGAAGGCAGCTCTGAGGCCTGGGGACGGTTTGAGCCCCCCCCTCACCTGCCACCATCACCTGCAGGGCCTCACTGGGACTCGAGGCCCAGGAAGGGGCTTGTGTCTGGAGGTACACACAGCGGTAGCGCCCCGAGTCGGCGCCCGTCACCCGGGTTAGAGTGAACGCCATGCTGCCCCCTGGTGAATGCTGAATCTGGATGGGCGATGCAGCTCCCTCCTTCAGCAGGGCGAAGGTGGTGTTGTCCGTCCTGTTGTCCGGCCTCTGGCACCGCAGGGTCATCTGCCCACCCAGGGCCACCCTGTCCCCTGAGTGGCTTTGCAGGGAAGGGCTGGGTGAAGCACCTGTGGGAGAGGAGAGGCTTAAGGCTCCTTTTGTCTCCCACCGTTCCATCCATTTCCCCTCCATTTCCCCTCCTCATCACCTCTTTCTCTCTGCAGCTTCTCAGGAGCCCAGATCCCTTCCCCCACCCATCACCCCCATCTGAGGGTCGCCACCCTCCCCTCCTCACCAGTAACCAGTAGCAAAAGGACCTCGCTGAGCTGTGCCCCAGGGTCGGGGCTCCCGGGCGTGTGCTGCTCGCAGGTGTAGGGCCCAGTGTCGCTCAGCTGGAGTTCTGTGAGCTGGAAGTCCACTCCTCCCTGTCTCCACTGCGTGGCAAACCGGGGGTGCCCGGCCCCCAGGGCCTTGACTCCTTTTCTGAGAACAAATCTAGAGCCCAGGATGGGGCTGGTGCACTGTAGGGTTATGTTGCTTCCGGGTGGAACCACGGAGCCCGGCTGGGCTTGGAGGACTGGTTTGGGGAAGGGGCCTGGAAGGAAGGAGGGAGGGAGGGAGGGAGGGAGGGAGGAGGCAGGGTTAACCAAGAAGCCTGGTTAAGATGGGGTGGGTGCAGGGACACGTTTGGGGTTGGCCATCAAGGACAGCTGGGCTGTGGGCTTTACTCACCACTTCCACTCATGTGCGCGACACTCAGCCCTGCAGGAGAACCTGCCGTGAGAGCCAAGCACCAGGCTGGGGCCTTGCCGCCGCCCTCCCCCACCTGACTGGGTCCCCAAGGCTGCTCTCAGTTCACCCCTTTTTCCTCTTTCTCATCAGAAGCCCAGGCCTTCCTCCCCTCCTACCCCCCAAGACCCATCTTGTGCTGTTGTCTCTCTGTAACTCATTTTCGTTGGGTAGCCATACTGTGACAAATGGCCACAAGCCTGCGGGGTTACAGCATCCAGGATTAATATCTTGACATTCTGAAAGGTAGAGCAATCCAGCAACTTGGGCCTTGTGGGCTGAAATTGGGGCTAGATTCTTTCCTGGGAGCTCTGGTCAAGGACCAATTGCTTTCCCTCCTTCTCTGTCTCAGTTGCTCACATCCAAAAGCAAAGTGCAGATGTTATAGGCTAATGGCGGGGGGGGGGGGGGGGGGGGTGTCCTGGGACTTGACCTCAGAGTCTGGGCACTATCCCTGAGCTTTTTTTTTTTTTTTTTGCTCAAGGCTGGTGCTCTACCACTTGAACCACAGCTCCACTTCTGGCTCTTTTTTGGGGGCCTGAACTCTGGGCCTGAGTGCTGTCCCTCAGCTCTTTAGCTCAAGGCTAGCGCTCTACCACTTGAGCTACAGCACCACTTCTGGGTTTTTTCTTTTTGCTTATGTGGTACTGAGGAATCGAACCCAGGACCTCATGCATGCAAGGCAAGTGCTCTACCACTGAGCCACCTTCCCAGCCCAGGCTCTTTTTTTAAATAGCAGTTAATTGGAGATAAGAGTTTCCCGGACTTTCCTGCCCAGGCTCACTTTGAACCCACATCTTTAGATCTCAGCCTCCTGGATAGTTAGGATTACAGATGTGAGCTGCTGGCACCTGGCATGAGCCTGTTTTTTGTTTTTAATCATCTCAACTTCATATGTTGAGATGCTAATCCCCAGCTCCTCCAATGCTGCTGTTTGCAGAGAGGGTCTTTAAAGACAGTTTGATTTGCCAGGCGCCGGTGGCTCACACCTGTCATCCTAGCTACCCAAGAGGCTGAGATCTGAGGATTGTAGTTCAATGCCAGCCCAGGTAGGAAAGTCTGTGAGACTCTTATTTCCAATAAACTACTCAAAAAAGTCAAAAGTGGCACTGTGGCTCAAGTAGAAGAGTGGTGGCCTTGAGCTGAAGAGCGGAGGGACAGCGCCCAGGCCTGAACTCTGGGCCCCACGACTGACAAGGGGGAAAGAAAGACAGTTCGATTCGATCCAGCAATCTCATTTTAAAATCTTTGGGTACAGTGTGCATTGGGAGAAGATTCACAATGGCCCAAGGGCCCTGCTCCCTGCACCCCGACACTTACCAAAACAGAGCAGGAACAGGAACTGGGGGTTCATGGCCAGCCCTCTGAGGCCCCTCAGGGCTGCTGTGGCGCCGGCTCAGTGCCTTCTGACTCCAGCTTCGAGGTGTTATGCACTCTCCTGGCTTCTGTGCGGTGGTGACCGGCAGGAAGCAACATGGGCTTTATCTCCACACCCTCCGGCCCCTCCCCATGGGGCCAGGCAGGAAGAGTCCACACACCCACATCGGAGCACACTTGTTCACGAAATCTCCATGGAGGTGGCGAGGAATTTCTCTTCAGATGACAGCAGGCCATGTCCCTTAGCATGTCCCTTAGTCTCAGCATATGCACAGTCCCACGAGCACCCCGCGTGCCCAATTGTCTTTTTAAAAGATGCTATTTTATCTTTAAATCATGATAAAAGAAATAAGGACTTCAAACCATTCAAAGGTACTCAAAGAAAAGGATATGAAAAGAAAAATGGAGTCAGCAAAAAAAAATAGTAAGGACTTTAAACTTTGCAAGCTGCTAATGTAAGATGTCTCAGTCTTTTTTGTTTGTCTGTTAACATAAAAAATCAAGTGAGTCTCAGGATCTGATTACTCTTTTCCATCATGTGTTTGGGAGGAGAGCACAATACCCTTTTGTCCTGAAGGAACTTACTGTCTGAGAACGGGACCCTTGGCTCATGCCTGTCATCCTAGCTACTCATGAGGCTGAGGTCTGAGGATCATGGTTCAAAGCCAAAGCCAACCCGGGCAAAAAAGTTTGTGAGACTTTCTTTTTTTTTTGCCAGTCATGGGGCTTGAACTCAGGGCCTGGGCACTGTCCCTGAGCTTCTTTTGCACAAAGCTAGCACTCTACCACTTGAGCCACAGCGCCACTTCTGGCTTTTTCTGTGTATGTGGTACTGAGGAATGGAACCCAGGACTTCCTGCATGGTAGGCAAGCACTCTACCACTGAACCACCTTCCCAGCCCTGTGAGACTCTATCTCCAATGAGCCACAGAAAATCAGAAGTAGTGCTGTGGCTCAAAGTGGTAGAGTACTAGTCTTGAGAAAAAGAGCTCAGGGTCAGCACCCAGGCCCTGAGTTCAAGTCCCAGGACCAGCAGAAAAAAAAAGAGAGAGAAAACCAACAAGGATATACCCCATTGGCAAGGTGTAAAACCAATTGTCACCATAGGTATTTCTTTGAAGAGTTATTTTTCCAAGAGTTGGTGCTAATTTTTCTAACATCTGTTGACTCTTACTGTCAGCCTACCCCCTCCTGTTTAGGATCCACTCTGCTATCTCGGCCCAGCTGTACAGCACAGTCTTTCCTGAAACCTGATGACTTGGGCACTTCCCCAAAACTAGCTGACTCAGGCCTTATTTTATGGGTGATGCAGCTGCAACCATAAATCTTAGCCTAGCCCCAACACCCCCACCCCACCCTGCTCTGTTCTCACAAACTACTCCCTGCCCCTAGTGAAATCCTCCACCCCCTACCTTGCAGCCATATGCACCTTTTGGCCGAAGGGCAAGTGTGTCCCTGCCCTTGAGGGTCAGCCTGTCCTCTTGCTGACAATCAACATTGCTGTATAGGACTTGGGATCCCCATGGTCCTCTGAGCTGAGCTTTCACATCCAAGACCCTTTTATTCAAAGAGCATTTCAGTGTATGGATTTCTTTCCCCCACAGAGAATAATCTAGTTCTGGTCATGAATATTCATGAGGTCCTCTATGCATATTTGTGTAGGTCTATGAATATTCATGGAGTTCTCCCCACCGCACAGCACCAGAAGACATGATTGATGTTCTGGAGAATGTTCTCAGCTCAACAGTCTTATCAAACCCATTCCTTAAATTAGTTTGATGACTCAGAGGAAAACAAAATCTTATATATCAGAAAAAGATGGGCCACTGTAGCGCTTCTGAAGTCTCTTTTGTTTTTATCTTTATTTTTGTCAGTGGTGGCGTTTGAATTCAGGGCCTGGGCGCTTGTCCCTGAGCTCTTTTTTCTTTTTTTTTTTTGCCAGTCCTGGGACTTGAACTCTGGGCCTAGGCGCTGTCCCTGAATTTCTTTGCTCAAGGCTAGCACTCACAGGAATCCCATCATGAAATCTCTCTCGATATCTACCAAGAAGAGCATTTTAGCAGAGCATAGTGGCTCACGCCTATAATCCCAGCTACTCAGGAGGCTGAGATCTGAGGCTTGTGGTTCAAAGCCAGCCCAGGCAGGAAAGTCTATGAGACTCTTGTCTTCAATTAACCACCAAAAAGCCAGAAGTGGAGCTGTGGCTCAAGATGTAGAGCACCAGCATTGAGTGGAAAAACTAAGAGTCAGCACCCAGTCTGTGAGTTCAAGCCCCAGGATTGACATAGAACAAGTTCCCTGTGAACTCTGCCCCACAGAGAGATGACCCTCTAGATGGAGCCCAGGGGTGGTGAGGAGATGGCAGCGAGGTGGGTGCTGAAAGGCCCAGGTGCCTGGGGCCTGGGGTTGGGCAGCTGCCACCTGTGGCAGCGTGGAGTGGAAAACCAATACAGCTCACCCGAAGCAGGAAGCCATGAGAAATGGTCTCATGACAATGCAGGGCGGGGAGAGGAGGAAAGCAGTGCCCTAGCCCACAGAACTGAGAAACCATGTGTGTGCAAACCCCCAAGCCCCATGCGAGCTCTCTGCAGACAGGAGCTAGGTACCCAAAGATCCCATTGGAGACCAGCCCAGGCAACACAGCCAAGATGCTCTCCTCTCCAAATAACTAGCAAAAAGCCAAAAGTGGTGCTGCAGCTCAAGTGGTAGGACATGCATGAACCTTGAGTGGACAGCACCCATGTCCTAAGTGCAAATCCCAGCAGAGAGAGAGAGAGAGAGAGCGCTGGAGCATGGAGAATAAAGAAAAAAATGTGACAATACCTTGGTTGTTGGGAGAAATCGGTGGGTGCAGTTGCTAAAATTTATTGAGCATTTATTACAGGCCAGTCATCCATGGGTTCACTTCACAATGAAGGAAATCCAGACTTCAGGATGCCCCAATGAGAGAGTACCATCACTGGGATGTGAGCCCAAGCCACTGGTACAGAAGCATCAACCACTGCCGGGGCCATCCACCTGATGCCGAGGTCTGGGAGCAAAGGGTGGAGGAAGACCACATCTGGCTGGGCCTGGGGTCCGGAGATTCTGGGGGGCTAGGCACCCAGGGATCCCAGCTCCTCCACTTCTCTCCAGGAAGTCTCCTTAAGTTCCCAAATCTTCATGGGCTCTCCCGGGGTGGGAGGCCTCCAAGGGTGCTGCTCCTGTCCCGCCTGTCCATGGCCAGCAAGGCGCCCAGGGCAAGGAGGACGAGGCCAGCCAGTGCCAGACGCACTGCGTTCTCCCGGGTGTAGTCAGAGGAGACAGAGCCTGCAGGCCATGGACCACAAGAGCTGTTGGATCTGGGGCTCAAAGTCCAGCCCCGACCTTCAGGTCCCTAAGGGGCAGGGACTTGAGTCTCCACGATATGCAGGATAAGGGGGCCTGGACCCCTGCGTCTGAGGGAGGAGGCTGGGGCCTGGACCTTTGGGTCTGAGGGAGAAAGTTGGGGTCTGGATGGACATCTGGGTCTGAGGGAAGCTAGGGTCTGGACACCTGGGTCTGAGGGAGGAGGCTGGGGTCTGGACCTCTAGGTCTGAGGAAGGAGGTTAGGACCTGGACCTCTGGGTCTGAGGGAGGAAGCTTGGCCTGGACCTCTGGGTTTGGGGGAGGAGGCTGGGCCTGGACCCCCAGGTCTGAGGGAGAAGGCTGGGGCCTGGACTCCTGGGTCTGAGGGAGGGGGCTGGGACGTGACCCCTGGGTCTGAGGGAGGAGGCCCCTGAGGGGTGGCTCCTGGGAGGGGTCTGGCTCTCACCCCCAGAGGTGATGGTCAGAGGCTCGCTGCGCTGGGACAGCACGTAGGGCTTGGAGGGCGTGTGGTAGTAGCAGGAGTAGGTGCCCGGGGCGTGGGCGCTGAGCAGCAGGAAGTCGGCCCAGGACTGCGCCGAGTCGTGGTACTGCAGCGGGGCTGCCATGTCCACGCGGTACAGCGCAAAGCTCATGCCAGGCATAGGGCCCGCACACCTCAGGCTCACATTGGCGCCGGGAGCCACCACTGGCCCGGGCAGCGCCACCAGTGATGGCTGGGGCAGCTGGTCTGCCGGGGACAGGCAGGTCCTGAGTCCTGGGGGTCTCCCTTAGGTCCCTCCTTCCCCAGGCTCCCTCTCTCCAACAAGGTCCCCTCTCCCCCCGACCCCCAACTCACCTGTCACCAGCAGCTCCAGGGCCTCACTGGGCTGGGACCAGATATCCAGTCCCCAGTCTGGACCCCGGTAACGGCATTGGTAATGGCCGCCCTGGGTAGGGGTCACCTCCTCCAGGAAGAACTCTGCCAGCTCACTGGGCACATCCCGGAGATAGGCAGGGGTCCCCTCTCCGAGCTTGAAGAGTTCAAACTCCCCGGCAAGTTGGGGTGCAAGGCACCTCAGGGTCACGTTGACTCCAGGGGTCACAACTGCAGCTGGCTGAGCCTCCAGCCATGGTCTGGGGTGTGAGGCTGGGGGGACTGACCAAAGGAGGCTGCCTGGGTCCCTGGGGCTCCAGGGAGCCTCGGAGTGAGGGGAGAAGGGAGGTTGGGGAGGGGGAGAGAGTCATCTTGGACAAACAAGACCATTTCCCAGCCTTGGCTTTCCATTGGAGGGGAGTACAATCTGGAATCGAAGCTTGTTGAAACAAGCTATGGACACCCTCCCCCGCCCCCCGCCCCCCTCCCGGCAGCTCACCCCTGGAGTCCCAGCTGCTCAGGAGGCTGAGATCCGAGGATCTCATTTTGAAGCCAGAAGGGGCAGCAAAGTCTCCAACTAAGCAGCCAAAAGCCTTAGAAACAAAGCAATGTCTCAACTGATAGAGTGCTAGCCCTGAGTGAAAAGGTTAAGGGAGCAGAGCCCAGGCCCAGTTTTCAAGTCCCAGGACTCATGCGCACACACACACACACACACACACACACACACACACACACACACACCAGCTGTAAATCAGAAGAAAGAGTACAACTCCTGAGCTTTCTTCTACAGCATTTAGTATTTTGGGAACAAGGTCTCACTGTATGACCTAGGCTGGCCTAGAATTCTTGATCCTCCTGCCTCAACCTCCCCAGAACAGGATGTTACTCACCCGATGGTGTGAAGCTGCTGTGACTGGGAGGCCCTGCAGAAGGTTGAAGGTCTCATTTTGTTCGTTTTAGAGCCCATGATCATGACTAGTGACACCTCACTGGGCACCTGGGAATCTGATGGCCCTGGTCCCCCACTTCCATCTGGAAAGCAAGAGCCCTGCCCCTCTCTCCTCCTCTCTGAAAAGCCAGAAACCCAGACTTCCATTCTCAGTCTGTTGGACCCAAAGTCTGAACCCGTAGGTCTGAGCTGCACCTTTCCACAGGGTCATCATGTGCCCTATTGTTCCTTCCTTCTTGGGTTTCGGGTGTCTGTTCCTCCAGTGCCCTTCTTCATCCCTGGGAGCCAGGAGTCCTTTCCCAGAGACTCGGGGGTCCTGGCTTCCAAAGCCCCTCTGCATTCGAACCTGGGAGTCCACAGTCCCCGTGCCAGAGAATTCAGTCATCCCCAAGGCTCCAAGCCCCAGCCCCGGCCCCTTACTCTGAACTGAGCATTGAATTCGCTTGCCCCACTGGTGCTGCCCGGTCACCCCTGCAGGGTAGGGTGCCTGGGTCCCCACGCTTCCCCCTTCCCTCTGCTCCCCCCCATGCAGAGGAGAGGGTGGCTTACAGAGGGTCAGCAGCTGGAGAAGGAGCGCCAGGGCCATCAGACAGCTCTCGGCAGAGCTGCGGACAGGGCTGGCTGTGCCCTCTCCCCACCCAGGAAATGAGGCACTGGCCTCAGGCCAGAGCCTGGTTTGGAGAAGTCAGGTGGGGCCCCCAGTGACAGTGCTCCACCCCACTGTCCCAGGGAGGAAGCAAGGATAGCCGACTATGGGAAAAGAGCACCTGCTCTTCACAGACCCCCAGCTGAGAACTGAGGAGGCCTCACAATCTGCCAGTGCTGAGTTAGGGACAGATACAGTCATTTGCATTGTCGTGTGTGTGTGTGTGTGTGTGTGTGTGTGTGTGTGTGTTAAGGCACCTGAGCACTAGGCACTGGGGCACTACTAGCACTAGGCACAAGGGCACAACCTAGCCCCAGCTGAGAACTGAGGAGGCCTCACAATCTGCCAGTGCTGAGTTAGGGACCGATACAGTCATTTGCATTGTCGTGTGTGTGTGTGTGTGTGTGTGTGTGTGTGTGTGTGTGTGTGTGTGTGTGTGTTAAGGCACCTGAGCACTAGGCACTGGGGCACTACTAGCACTAGGCACAAGGGCACAACCTAGCTCTAAGCACTAGGGCAGTACCTAGCACTAGGCGCCAGGGGAGCACACTGGGATGAAAGCTAGCGTTTCCAGCTGCGACCTCGAATAAGAAATAAATGATCCCCTTATAATAAGAATGACTTTACTCCGCAGCTGCAGGACAGCTAGAAGTTACTCTTCCAGGCTGAGAGACACCAGCACCGCAGGCGGACCACATCCTGTAAAACCTCTCCAGCAGCAGCCTTGAACTTCTGCTAGTGCACAGAAGTTGAGCCCGCGGAACCTCGCCCCAGAACCACAACTCCCAGAGTGCTCCGCGCCTTCGGTACCAGATTCCACTTCCGCCTCAGGAGCACGCTGGGGAGCCCCAGCACAGGGACAACAACTCCCAGAGTGCGCTGCGCCGCCGCCGCGACCAAGATGGCTGCGCGTGAGTGCGGGCGCCTGGGGCTGCAGTCGTTCTGGGCGCTCCTGGGCAGCCCCGGGCTTGGCTCGTGCGGTTAGAAGTCACCAGGGTGACAGTCCGCTATCTTCCCAGGGGTCACTGCCTTCCTCAAGGATGTCTGGGCCAAGGAGCCGGTGCTCGTCGTGTCCTTCGCCGTCGGGGGCCTCGGTGCGTGAGTGCCCCGGCGTGAGCGCGCCCCGCCCGCCCCGCTCCCCGTCCCCGCGCCCGCTCCGCTCCACCCCTTAGCCATCTCTGCGGAGTTGCGGCGCCCTTTGCCCTTGAGTTGTTGGGGGCGGCGTGGGCCCGGGATCTGTGGGGGCCCCGGATCCGTGCGCCTCTCGTGGGGACCCCCAGGCCTCCCCCCCCCCCCACCGAGGCTCTGCACACCGAGTGCATGGAGGCCCACGGGGGAGGGGTCATTGAACAGACTCCTGGCCCCCCGGTGAGGCCCGGAATTCCGCTTTTCTAACCGGTTTCTGGGTCAGGTCAGTCTGCCGACCCAAGGTCACACACGGGGTGCGGGTCCGCCAGCCACGTATGCTCAGCGAGCTCTCGAGACGGCGGGAGACGCATCCGATTTCATCGCAGCAGCTTTATGCTGTCCGCTTTTTTATGTTGAGATAGGGTCTTACCAGGTTAAATCTAAGTCCTGTTGTTCATCTCGTGTGTGCTTTTCCCTCTCATGTGAGGTGCCAGAAGACGTAAGATTACACGTGGCTGTTTTCTGTCAGCCTTCCAGCAGCAGCAGCAGCAGCACACTGCTTTTGCTCCTTGCCTCGGGACTCCACATTCTGGCCTGAGAGGATTGTAACCTGTCAGTGACTGCTCTTTGCTCGATCTCCCGGCCAGTTTGCTGCAGTCCTGTTTCTCTAGAATAGCCCCAAGTCACCCTCAGGATGTTGCTCCGCTGTGACCACCCCCACTGCCTCCCCTCTGCTCCCCACTTCTACCCACTCACTTAAATGCCACAGGAACCCCTAGAGCAAAGCCTTCCTGGAGGTCTTCCCTGCTCCCCTGTCCCCCTCCCCTCACCCTTGTCTCTCCACAGCGATTATTATGCCTGTACTCAGCCCCTACACCAAGTACTCAAGCATGATCAACTCGGCCACACCCTACAACTACCCAGGTGAGCTGGAGCTCGGGAGGACAAAGCCTGGGTGGGCCATGGTTCACACCCATTCTCTTCCCATCTTTCCACTTTCTACTGCTTTCCAGGGCTGGTCTCCCACCTCTACTGGAAATGACTATCCTACCTGTCTCCCATTTCCCACTTCTCTGCTTATTCTCTGAACCCTCTCTCTTTCTGCTGGAATCTTATTTTGCTCTCTAAACATAAACTGACAAATCAGCTGACCTATTCAGAGCCCTGGAGATGTGCCCCTTCTCAGTGCCCCCTTCCTGTCTCACAGTGCCCCTCCGAGACAATGGGAACCTGCCAGATGTGCCCAGCCACCCCCAGGACCCCAGAGGCCCCAACTTGGAGTGGCTGAAGAATCTGTGAATACCTTTGCTTACAGCGGACAGGGAGGTGAACCCCTTCCCTGGGGCCTCAATAAAAATGTGAAAACCAAACTCAGAGTCTGAATGTGATTAGAGACAGGAACAGTAGACACTGGCCAAGCGGCTGGAGGGGTGGGAGGGAGAGGAGGTCATTTATTGGAGTGGAGTTAGTCAAAGGGCGGGCTGGCCAGGGTGGGGTAGGGCAGCAGTTTGTCAGGACCCCGAGAAACCCAACTTGAATCCAGGGCCTCATCTGCTTCAAAGCCAAAGTCTTCCTCAACTTTAATCTGTAGAGATAAAGAACAAGGCAGGAGTGGGCCAGTGTAGTTCTCTGGGCCCAGACAACCCCCTGTACTCAGTCATTCCTGGCACTCCCTTTTCTCGCCCGTTTTCCCCTCTTCTATCTCCCAAGTTTCTCTCCCGGAGCTCTTGCCAACCTTCCCCACTCTGTCCCTGGCTTGTCCCCAGCCTCTCTCCTTCCTGCTCCGTCCCTGGCTCCTCCCACCTGCACAGGTGCCAGATCCGGGGTCAGCGCTGCTCCTGTTCGGCCTCCTTCCCGAGGTGGCCTCCGCCTCTTCCTCCCGCTAGACCCCTCGCCGGGGGGTGGGCTGCTGGCCTCTGGGGGTACAGGAGTCCTTTTGGGTGGGGATAGTCCCTCTCTCTCAGGAGGCTCGTTCTCGGCATTGCCTGGGGTAGGGGCATCTGTGCCCTGGCTGCCCTCATCCTGTGGGGGAGGAGAGGCAGGTGAAGATGGCTGTGGCTGGGGTTCCTCTGCCCACCTGGCGGTTGGCACTCACCTCCAGCACGATGGTGAACTGGCTGGCCCGGTAGTCATCGCCATAGGAGTCCAGGACCCGCATCAGGAACCTGCATGGCGGAGAGACCACCCATGGCTCAGCTAACCTTTACTGAGCAGGTCACAGAGCCGGGCGCCGGTGGCTCATGCCTGTCATCCCAGCTCCTCATCTGAGGACTATGGTTCAACACCAGCCCAGGTAGGATACTTCATAAGACTTAAATCTCCAATTTATCACCCTAAACCACCCATGAAGTCATGGTTCAACTGGTATGGTACCAGCCTTGAACAAAAAAGCTAGGTGATTGAGTTCAAGCTTTAGTACCAGCACACACACACAAACAAACAAAAGGATAAAGGTGCAACAAACAAACCAAAAAAAGGGGGCTGAGCTTTGGGGAAGTGACTGCAAGGGAGTATGGGAAAGCAAGCCAGCACAGGCACAGCTGGGTAGGTAGGAGACACCCAGGATGCTCAGAGAGGGCTCCAAGGAAGAGGGCAGGTCCACAGAGTCAAGCATGGGAGCTGCTGTGTGGGCTGGAGTGCCAAGCTCTGTGTCACAGGCCATCCCATCTCGCTGGGACACAGAGCACAACACAGCCTTCACCTGAGCCCTCACCTGCACAGTGAGCTCCAGGCTGGCTGGTGCGCAGTGCTAGTGTGGGAAAGGGCAGCTCAACCACACAGCAAATGGTGTCTGCCATCTCCAGTGCCATCCCGTGGCTAGTGAGACCGGGGTGGACAGGAGACAGTGGGAGGTGATGGACATGTGGGGGCAGAGGCCACGGGCCCACAAGGGGCACAGGTTACCTGCGCTCTTGCTGGAGCCTCCGAGTTATCCTCTGCACCTGATGGAGCCTGTTCAAGACACGCTCGTTCACCTGAGGGGAAATAGAAGAAACCAGGTTAGACCCAGTCCCTCAGGACCTGGGGAGCCATCCCAGGCCAGCTCCTCGCCTCCAGTCCCCATCCAACAGACTGACCTCTGCAGAATGCCTTGATCCCTGGAGCACACTCCTGGCTTAGGAGGCTTTCCATGTGCTGTATAGGCTAAAGAACACCAAAGACTGCTGGAAACCCCAAAGCTAGGAGGGAGCCTGGGCCAGGGCCCCACACAGACCACACCTTGATCTCACTTCTCACCTGTGAAATTGTCAGCTGGGAACGAGTTGCTGAGCCACCAGCTGGTGGTTCTTTTTAGCAACTTGAGGAAACATGATAAATTCTTCAGAGAGCCTTTCAAACATTCAGACCTGGACATGAGTGCTTCCCCCCACTTCCCAAAGCCTTTCAAGGGCTCCCCTGCTCTCCTTCATTCTCAAAAATCCCAAATACTTCTTGCTCTGGTGTCATGGCCTATTAAAGTCGTGGGCTGTGGCTCCTCTCGATCAAGGAGGTGTATTCAGTGACTTCTCCCAGCCCAGGGAATTCATTTGGGGACGGAAGCCAAAAACATGGCAATGAGAATGGATCCACGGGACATTTCAGAAACAGAGTGAGTGGCCTGAAGGCACCCGCGAGGATTTGCAGGTCTCAAGGCGCGGGGCCGCACGAGGCCCCGAAGGGCACCTGGGAGACACCAGGAGGCTGAGCTGGTGTCGCAGAAGCTGCTGGTGAAGGATGGATCCAGGTACCACACAAATGAATGAGCCCACGAAGGGTTCATGCGGCTAACCCAGGAACAGCGAGGAGGAGCAGGGCAGCCTGGGAAGGTTCGGAGGATCCCCACGATGGGACCCAGAATTGACTACCTGCTCGATCTCCCGGCAGCGCCGGCCCAGGGCCTGGTACTTCCTGCGGTTCAGCTCCCGCTGGCGGCGCCGCCGACCCCGGGCGGCCTCCTCCTCCTCGTCCCGTTCCCGGAGCCCCGGGCCGCCCAAACCGCCCGACACGAACTCCACTTCGGTCTCCAGCTCGCTCTCCAGGATGTGGCCGCCGAACAGCGGAGGCAGCGCCAGCTCCGAGCCCGGTGGTGCCGAGAACTCCTCGAAGCCCACGGCTGCCATGGTCCTGGAGGGCGGGGATGGGGCGATGTCAGGGACCCTATCCTGGCTCCCCAGCCCCTCCGTCCTGAAGGTCCGACCCCAGTCCTCTCCCTTAGACCCAGGGGTCAAGAGCCCCAGCTTCCTCGTTTCGCAGGTTTGGGGGTGATCACAAGCATTCTACCCCAGAATGCTCCGGCACAGACCCCAGGTACCCCGAAAAGGTATGAGAGCAGTCTCCCGAACTACAACCCCCATCAACCCTCAGAGGGCACGGGCGGACGGCTGCAAACTGCGGGCGCGTTTCCAGATTCGGGGTCCCCCCCACAACCCTTTCCTCCTGCAGGTCGGCTACTCACCCTTCCCTCTGCTCCAGCTCCATCTCCCCGGCTCCGGGCGACCCAAATCTCAGGACTTCAGCCTCCGACCTCCAGGAAGAGCCGTGCGCAAAACTACCCGTCCCGTCGGGCTGTTCGGCCCCGCGAGCCCGGCGCCTTCTGGGAGTTGTAGTTTCGTGTCCCCGGCTTCTTGCCGCACGTCCTCCTCCCCACGTCCACCCGCGTGTCGAGTCCTTGCTTCCCTGTCTGCTGCCGCACCCGGGCGTCTGTGTGGCCGCCGCCGTTCCTCTCAGGTCAGGACAGCCCCGCGCGTGGTGGGGCCCGTCTCCCGTGGACTGGAGCTCCAAGCGCACGGACCCCCCCCCCCCGCGGCGGACGCGAATAAAGTTGTTTCAACCGCGACCAGGAACGGCCCCAGGCTGTGACCAATCAGAAAGTAGCTCTGATGTCATCGCCACGCCGCCTACGTCATCAGAGCGCGCCGTCCCCGGGGGAAGTTTATTTCGTAGAAACCGTCGTGTGCGGAGGCCAGAAGTGAGTGTGAGGGCGCCGGAGAGGGTGCGGGGCGGGGGAGCTGGGCTGCGCGGTCTGGAGGACGGAGTGTGTGGGGACAAAGGGCTTTTGCAGCCTGTTTGCCCCAAGGCTTCTTATGTGGCTTCTATATCAGGAGCAACAAGCATCCCCTGCTCTCTTGGCTTGGCTGATGCCAGGAAGCAGGCTTAATGAAGCAGCTACTTAGCTGATCACACGTGCGTGTGTGTGTGCGGGGCCTGCGTCACCCAACAGCCCACCCCAGGCTGGGTCACATTAGTGGAGTATGAGGAGTAGATGGAGTTAGGGAAGAATGAAGTGAGGCGCCTCTAGCTGTAGGGAATAGGAGTGGAGGAGGGAAGATGCAGCCGTGGGGGAAGGCGTCTCCAACCAGGTGGCCATTGAAGGGGTCTGGTGTGTTACAGCCTGGGTAGGAACGGTGACACCCCAGTGAACAAGCAAAGCATCCTTCCTTGAGAAGCCTGCATGATTGCTGGGGTTCCTAAAGATGAACCAGAATCTTCCAGAGGAAGCATTCCTTTTGGTAATGAGAGATAGAGATGGAGTACAGTTTTAGGGAACAGTGGTCTCGCTCCCCCATAGGCCTCGGGATGTCTCTGGCAGATGAACTCTTGGCTGACCTCGAGGAGGCAGCAGAAGAGGAAGAAGGAGGAAGCTATGGCGAAGAAGAAGAGGAGCCTACCATCGAAGATGTACAAGAGGAGACACAGCTGGACCTTTCCGGGGATTCGGTGAAGAGCATCGCCAAGCTATGGGACAGCAAGATGGTAAGAGGGCATGGAGGTGTGAGTGCGCTCTGATGGGGAAACAGCTCTTGTCTCTCAAGGATCCCATGTTCTGACTCTGCTCTCCTTCTCTGATAGTTTGCGGAGATCATGGTGAAGATTGAGGAGTACATCAGCAAGCAAGCCAAAGCTTCAGAAGGTCCTCCCCTTTCTTCCCCCACACACTCATTCTTCTGCTAGCTTTTGTTCTTCGTGGCTTAGAAATTGAATGTTTTTCTCAGCCTTTTCCAGAGTCTTTGTCTTTTCCTCCATCCCATCCTATACCAGCACACACCTGTAGTCCTGGGACTTAGCACAAAGAGGTAGGAGGATTGAATGTTTGAGTCCAGTCTGGACTACACAGTATACGTACTTACACTTACATGTATATGCAAGTGGTACACTGCAAAGCTCTTAAGCCCTTATTCTGTCCTGAGCACTTATTAATTGTGCTTCCTCTTATCTTAAGGTTTCCCAAATTGCAGTTTTATACCTGTAAACCTGCTCAGCCTGTTATTTACTTAACATTTTCTTTAAACCAATGGATTTTTTAAAGAATTAAGTTTATGGATTGGACATCAAATTAAGCATATTACTACCATAAGTGGAAAACTAAGAAGCATTAAAGAAAAAACTGAGT